CATTTTTCCTGTTGTTGATATTCCACTGAATATGTGTTCTTTTTCTTCTTCTTCAAGTGCCCTGTCCGTTGCGAACGTTGGCTATTAACATGGTAATTCTGATCCTGCTTGCGGCGCTTCTGAATAGTTCGACCGATGTGTGCCCGAACCACTTCCGAAGATTTTGGAGCCACGAGTGTCTTCTCCTGCCTGGCCCTCGCTTACTGTCTATTTTCCCCTGGACAATCAATTGCAGTAGACAGTACTTATCGTATCTCAATATGTGGCGTAGATATTCAAGCTTTCTTTGTTTAATTGTATTCACGATTTCTTTCTCCTTTCCAATTGAAGGAGGATATGAGGAGCTTTTTCATATTGTTAAATGCTGCTATAGCTCGTTTTATTCTCGTCTTAATTTCTGTGGCCTGTTCCCATTTTGCATTTACGTTGGTGCCAAGGTACACATAAGATTCTACATGGTCAATTACTATGTTACTTATCCGTAATTGTCGAGCAGGTTGTTGCTTTTTGCTTATCAGCATCCACTTTGTCTTCTTGAAGTTGAGGCTCAGGCTGTATTCCTCACTAACTGAATAAACTCTTTCCATTACCTGTTGTAATTCGTCTATGGTACTGGCAAAGATCACTGTGTTGTCGGCATATCTTATATTGTTCGTTAACTCGCCGTTTATTTTTATGCCCTCATTTGCATTCTCCATACATTTGTTAAATATTTCCTCGAAATAATGGATATTGAATAGGAGTGGGGATAAGATACACCCTGATGGACACCTCTTTTGATCTGCACACTTCCAGTGAGTTCGTTGCCAATTTTTGCTCTTGCTGTTTGCCCCAGTATAGGTTTGCCACAATTCGAATGTCCTTGTCGTCAATACCTGTCTTTCACAGAATATCTATCATTGTTCATGATTGACATTGTCAAATGCTTTTCTAAAGCACAAATACACGTCCTTATCAACGTCTCTACACCGCTGTATAAGCACCTGGAGAGTGAAAACTACTTCTCTAGTTCCTAGTACATTGTCCTGACCGGCTGACTTATTGTTTTTTAGTGCTGCAATGGCATCTTCTATCTCCGAATTAAGGATTGAAGGTTCCTGTTTTTCCTTCTCCATATAGGTGATCATCAGTCCTGTCAGAAGCAAATAATTGTTCTATGTATGATTTTCACGTTTCTAAGATCGTTGATGGCTCCGAGATAAGATTTACATTGCTATATTTTATGCTGTTGGGTGACTTATTGAATTACCTCTTGTTTGTCATTGATTTTGTTTTTGTGTGCATATTGTAACTGTTCTATTTTCGTTCGTATTGTTCTATTTTCCTGCATTCGTTGGAAAACCATTTTTCTTTGGCTTCTCGAATTTTCGTTCTTATGGTTTTGTGGATCTGCTGGTATTTTCCTGCATTTTTATTCTTGAATTTACGTCTTTCATCCATCATATCCATTATCTCATCAGACATCCATTCTTTCTTCTTCTGTATGTCACGCTTTAATAGAGTCGCGCATGTTGTTTCGATTGCTTCCCTCGATTTATCCCATCTCTCTATTATGTCGGACATGTTCTCGTTAATGTCATTTATTTTCGTAATTATGTGTTCTTGCAAATTCTAAATGACAATATTTATGATTTTGGAGAAGACATACATGAAGAAGCAACTTTGGCAGGGCATCTAGGCTTTAAGTTTGCTTCTTTTAATAGTTGTCAAACTGTTTTTGAACTCACATTAACTTGTTTAACATTTAGTAGCTCATTTATGAGGTGAATCGATGTCAGTGAGCTACTTCGTGTAGAGTTAAGAACCAAAAAACAGTCATCAATTGCAGTTGTGTACCTTGAGCATCCTAGACCAGGCCTTCATACAATATTCCCTGTCTCACAGTACCTTTTTTAAGTTTTCGAAACTATAGATTGATTTCTCCTGAGATATAATGCGATATATTTTTTTGTGTATCCTTCCTCATACAACATGTATGTCCTCATACAACTACAGTATGTGCTGCTTGGGCTTCATCGCAGTGTTGAATTGATGGCATACTTGTTTTAAACTTAGTTAAAGCAAAACAATATTTAATTAAACTTGATAAATCAAACTAAAAATAACCAAATGAGTTTTCCTTTAGGTGAAGGTTTTTTATGATAAAATGCATGAATGACACTAAATGCTGAATAAATGTCAAAATAAACATCAAAATATTTCAAACCAATAGAGTAGATCAGACTACTATATGAGTAACATCAGTAACCTAGAATTAGTTAGAAATAATAGTGACTACAAAAAAAAATTGGAAAATTCCAAAAAATTCAATATTTTTGTCCATGAGTATTTGATCTGATTTGATTTGAAGTATTTGATTTTCACTCTACTTAGCTTCTTTTACAATATTTTTATAATATATTGTCAGTATTATGTCACTTCTCATATTTCATACTTCTCCATTAACATATCTGGTTTTATTTCTAACAAATTGTGGTATTTTTTTTCTCTCATATTCAATGAGTTCTTCTTATAGTGCTATGCACCTACAATATATCTGTCTTTTGCGGCATGCAAAAGCTTACTAGTGTTATTTATGCCTGTCCAGTTCTTTATATTCTATAGCCAACATACTCCTCTCCTGACTCAATCTTTCTTTGGATAATTAGTTGAGGGATTGCAGAGTTTTTTCCTCTCAGGATATGGTCCAAGTATCCAATTTTTGTATTTGCCCTTCTTGTTTCCGTAGTAAGACTTCCTTGTTTTTCACCCTATCTGTCTATATGTGAAACATTCTTCACAAGTTCCACATTTCAAAAACCTCCAACTTATTACTTCTTCTTCTTCTTTAAGTTCCATCTTCTATCGAAGGTTGGAAATCATCATGGCTATGCGGACTCTGTTGACTGCCGCTCTAAAAAGTTCTGCACTACTGCATTCAAACCATTTCCGTAAGTTCTTAAGCCAAGATATTCTTCGTCTTCCCACATTTCGCTTTCCTCGGATTTTGCCCTGCATAATAAGTTGTAATAATAAGCGTATTTTTGATTATTATTCAGATGAACTTGTTTTAGTGTCCATCCAAACCATAAAGAAGAGTAGAGAACAGGTAACATCGAAGCATTCTCAGGCGTAGTTCTAACCTTATATCCCGACAACAAAGAAACTTTTTAAGTTTAATAAATGATATATGTGCTATTTCAATATGTGTCTTAATTTCTTTGGTTTGGTCTACATCTGATGTTATCCATGTTCGTAAGTATTTATAGTTATTAACACTCTCAATTGCAGTATCTTCAATAGTCAATTGGATATTTGCATGTGCAGATTTAGTCATGATCATGCATTTAGTTTTCTTTAAATTTATCTTCAGTCCGTACTCCTGACAGCGTTCATTAAGGCGTTGCATTATGTTTTGTAAATCATTGTTGTCATCCGTGATTATTACTGTATTGTCTGCAAAACGTAAGTTATTCAAAACTTCTCCATTGATAGATATACCTTCTATTGACTCTGAGAGTGCTTCTTGAAATACCGCTTCACTGTAGACATTGAAAAGTAGTGGGGACAGCACGCAACCCTGGCGGACTCCTCTCTGTATTTTGATATTTTCGGTGTACTGGCTGTCAACTCTTACCTTGGCAGTTTGATTCCAATATAAATTAGATATAATTTTCAGATCACTACTGTCAATATTTTTGCTTTTTAATATATCTACAAGTTTTTTATGTTGAACTATTACGAACTTTATGCTGAATAAATAAATAAATAAATAAAAACTTTATCAAATGCCTTTTCAAAGTCTACAAAACATAAGTACATATCCTGATTCATGTCCATGCATCTCTGAGCCAGCACATTCAAGCCGAACAAAGCGTCTCTTGTACTCATACCATTTCTAAAGCCAAATTGTGTGTCACTTTATCATTTATCCCCTTTATCATTTTTATATATCCCCTTTATCATTTTTAAGGATATTTGTTTTTGTACGCTTTCTAGAACCTGTCATTTCTTTGATTTTTTTGTTTGATGTTTTCTTCGTTCTTCCATGAGTTCAAGAATTTCTACTGTCATCCAAGGTTTTGTTTTTTCTTCAAGTGGTTTGAGGAAACTTATTACTGGAAAGTATTTTTAATGTCCATGTCTCCATTTCATAGAACAATATGGACCATACATAGCATTCACTTATCCTGTAGAGGAAATATTTTGGTTATGTAGTAGTAGCTTAAAATTTCATTTCAGTACTAGTGGTATGTTTATACATGTGTTCTAGATGTTTTAATAATCAATTTAACAGTTTTAACCACAATGTGTGAAATGTCATGTCTTGCATAAATATAATCCAGAGGTATAGCATTTAGTTTAGTGTTATATATAAACATACAGCTTAAGATACAAAAGGGGTCCTCTGTGGAATTTTATAAACTTGCTATCAATTAAAGCATCTCTAGAGAGTTAAGCATGCTCACTGTCATATAATTATGTAACTGAATATTTTTTATAAAAAACAGTTCAGGCATTTAATAAATAACAAGGTCTAGTGACCACAATTGGAAACAAACAATAATTACCTTTCATAGCTAGAATAAGTAATGTAAGATGAAATGAAATAAAAACTTACAATATTTATTATAATTGTTTTGGTCCTATTAGATATTTGAGGGATCTGATGATGCCTAATTATAATTGAATTGAAGTACTAACATATTAAATCAATTATTCGGACCTATATTCCTACTGTTTAGTCTGTGTATTAATTACTATCAAATCAGTTCCCTGAAGGTTTTTCAATGTTTTTATAATGATATGTTCTACTAAAGTATCATTATATGATCAAAGGTTAAGGCAAATTACCAGATTAATAGAAATTAACTTAAAATTTTACATGCAATAGCTAAAATTAAAAATCTGTCTACATGAATTGGACATTCTTATAAAATTAAAATTATTAATGGAAATTTTTTTCACTAGTTTAAAAGTAATTATGTAAGCAAATAAACTAATAATGAATGAAAACTTACCTCTTCTACGGTTAGGGGTAGGGTCACACGGCTGAAAATTAGAAAAATGGTAATTAGTGTATCAGAAATCAAATTTATTCAATGCCATCCCAATAATCCAAGGTCTTGTAACAAAAATGGTTCAACTATATTATAATTAATGACAAAGACACTTGCATTTGATTATATACAAGGTTTTAAACGAATTTCGGAGTTCTAAGGTTACATACGAGGTTTGCAGAAATCTGACACCCAAAAAATTGATAAAAGTGACACTTGTGCAGGGTTAAAATCCCTCCTTACAACCTCTCGTTTTATAACTTAAAATTCTTTATTCCGGGCATCAAATATCTTCTGTAGGTTAATAATATTTATTGTACTCACTATTCTTTAATCAGCATGTTTTCTTTGCTGCAATTTTAACTATTAAACATGCAAAATTTCCTGGCACACACTGACTAATGAATCACTACTTGAAACGAGTGGACCGGCGCAAGCTCGGTGACGCAATGGTGTGACGTCAATTTCTACACTTGTCATCGTCTCAACGTGTCAGAATCCATACTTTTCAAAATACATACTGTGGACAATATTCCATAAATGTTTCAAATGTTTGGAATTAATTATATTATATTATTACTAATAATTATAAAAATGCATGCATTAGATTAAAAAAAATTGATCTATGCACCATAAAATTATAAATAAACTTTATAATTACCAATGTATAAATTTAATTTGTTAATATATAAAAAAAAACAGTTCTTGTAATTAAAAATACAGGTATTATAATAATTATATAGTATTTGCTACAACAATTTAAAAAAAATAATAGCTACTATAAATACTTAAAAAATCTTAAATTATTCTGTTTGTTAATAAAATTTGGCCAACCTGTTGTCACCAAATAAATATGTCAAAAATCAATAATTTAACCAAAGTGGTATCAATAACAAACTTATAAAAATGTAGCTAAGTATATGTTGGATTTTATTAATCGTTTTGTTAAACTTGATGTAAGTACTCAATATTTTACAATCTGTTGATATTAATGTCCCAAGTATGGTTTTAAAGGATCATATCGAATTGGCAAATTTTGTCAAAAATGTACATGAGGAACTCAGAGAAAAATCAAAGTTGATTGGAGTTGAAGCTGCATGGAACCAACATTGCCAAAATACAGAAAAGTTAAAACAGTATGCAGCCGCCATGAAAGAACTAGCCACCAATCATTGGCAGAACTCTTCTAAAGATGGTGAAAATATTTCAAGAATTTCATGGGTGTATAGAGCTTGTTTGGATTACTTTAATAAAGATATTTTAGTACTTCGAAATAAAGAGATGAACATAATGAAAAAACTAAATGTAAATGGATGTAATAGCTTTCAAACAATTGCAAAAAACAGATGGAATTTACTAGATGTTGGTAGTTGTTATAATCCATTCCAGGTTTTTGAAGAGTTTATTGTTACAGCTCTAGATATTGCACCTGCTTTAAACAGTGTTTTCAAATGTGATTTTATTAATGTTAAAGCTGATCAGAAATTAAATTCAGAAAATAATGAAATTACAGTACTCCCAAAAGACTATTTTGACATTATAGTATTCAGTTTATTTTTAGAATACTTACCTTCTCCTCCACAAAGAAAATTGTGTTGTGAAAAAGCCTATGAACTTCTGACCCCAGAAGGTATTTTAATAATAATTACACCAGATTCAAATCATGTAGGGTCAAATGCAAAATATGTAAAATCTTGGAGATTTGTTTTAGCAAACATGGGATTTTCAAGAATAAAATATGAGAAGTTGAAACACATTCACTGTATGGTATTTCGCAAAGTTCCTGTAAAAGGTATTACTCAAAGATGGGCTGAAATTCACAAAGCAGGACAAGCTTTTGGTGAAATTTATATTCCACAAGATTTTAAAAAGAAACCACAACAGTCAGAGAGTTTTAATAATGTAAAAGAACTTACAGTAGAAGATATAGTGACTTTAAGTAATGAACTACCATTTTGTGATACTTTTGATTAGAATGTTTAAAACAGAGAAAGAAAGAAACACAACTTTAAAAGCAAGGCTACTTTTAATTTTAAAATGTTTTACTATAAGATGAAGCACTTAATAAAGGCAAACAAATTTTAAGAAACATCAAGAGAAATGCAAAAAATATCAAATTTATGATGTACTGATAATTTTAATAAACAAATTTTAAGAAGTAACTGTTTTTTTAAATCATATTTCCTCTTAACCTACTAGGCTTTAATTGTCATTGGAACTAGTGGTGACTGGTGTGGTAAAACTTTGGGTAGGCCAAGCCAGCAAATTACGTAATAAATTTAGCGTAATACTCTGTGAATCTTTTACTATCACCCAATTCCAGTTATTGAAACTTTTTGTAATCCGAGAAACATTGCTCTAATTGAGTGATAATATCCAATATCTCAAAAAAGATCCTTCTAAATTTAGTTTTAGCTTTCCCCAAAAAACTTTGATCTCCGTTATTACATGAACTAGCAGGTAAAATATCAAGTTCACTACAACTTAAAATGGGTTTAGAATTGGTTTCGCTAACAGTAATGTTGAAATGGTTAGAAAATGTAAGGTCATTTCTCCAGCTCTTTAACATTGCAACACTTCTGGACAATGAATTGGCACATAATTGAACATCATTATTTTTCTTCTGCAAGATCCAGCTCTTTAACATTGCAACACTTCTGGACAATGAATTGGCACATAATTGAACATCATTATTTTTCTTCTGCAAGATGTTGTATAAGAGCTCAGTTTGTTGAAATATATCACTAAAAACATTTAATAAAAATACAAATTCCAAATCCTCCAACTTACGTTTAAAACCATCTGCCTGCCTAATTGATTTTGCATTTGATTCTGGGCAATTCATTATGTCCTGAAAGCTTGTAACAATTTTTTTCTTTCTTGTGACACAGCTTACTACTTTTGCATTTGAATTCCATCTTCCCAGACAGCACAAGACATCCCTGGGACGTCCATTTTAAGGTCCAAACGTCCCAGGACTTCTTTTGGACGTCCAAAGGATATTTCTAGTCGGACATACCAGGGACGTCACATAAGGTCGTCCGAGGGACGTCCCATTAGGGATGTATTCTAGATGTTAACTGTCATTTTTTTACTTAAGCATATTTTTTACAAAATATAATATCTTCCTACTGAACTTTATTTTAGAAAGTTATATTTAGTTTTAAATACCATTAATTTATACGAAAACAGACAGAGGCCCCTTTTAGAGAAAAATCCTTATCCTATAGCAGCTGCCGAACAAGAGCAGTTTGAAGAGGATGAAAGGTACGAAATGCCAGAACAACCAGGCAGAACCCAAGTAACTTGGATAAATGGAGATTTAGTTCCTCATGCAAGACAATTTCTTAAACAAAATGATGCACGATCCATTGGCAGATGACCAAGTAAGCTAGACCAGAGTGATTCACCTCTATTCACAGATTGACCCATACCTTGCCTATTTTTTTTCTTAGTATATTCTTATTATGTCTACGAATGTAGTTTTTTAATAAAATACTGTTAAGCCTGTTTGGTTAATTCCGTATAGTCCCATTTTCACCATCATTGGTAGGAAGTAATTAGTTTATGTAAAAAAAGTCAATCAATGTTTAAAATAAATTATAATTTTTTTGTAAAAAAATAAATACAGCATAATTTATTTACATTTGTGATTGCCCTTCTTTTTCTGATCTTTAAGCAATTCATCGAAATCATTTCTTAATATGTACCAAATTGCAATATCATGACCTAAAACTCAATTGAGTAATTTAACAACAAAACATTTAACAACAAACCAATAAAAGTTATTTGTATAAGGATAACAATTGAACTAGGTTTACTCATCAGAGTACATCAATCTTTTGAAGGTCTTTTGTAAAGAACACCTCCAAATTCGGATTGATCAAAACTTTCAGCACTAGTGTAATACATACATAACAGAACTAGGGCCAATAAAGAAAACACTACTTTCTCTAATTTCTGAGTTTGTATTGTTTGCTCTCTAGTGTCTCTATAATGATCGCTACGGCGTTTATTCTCCATTTGTCGCCGAAAGGTAGCACCATAATGATTTTTAGCCCATTCATCAAAGTCATAGATTGGTGTACGGCCATCAGGAGGCGGCGGCCTTGAGCGTGTTTCTCGGGATTTATGGAATCTATCGGTGACATCGTCAGAAACTACGGCGCTTCTAAAATAGAGACCTAAAAAATAAACATGAGTGCATAAAATCGAAACAAAGATACTTAATATTATAAAATTATTAAAACCAATAATATATCTGTGGCCATCCAAAATAACCAGGTAATTCAACTTAAGTAGAAATTGAGAAAAATGCATTTCAAGTGTTTAATGCTTTATTGTGAATATTGAAATACAATTATGTTTCGATCCGTTGTTAGCGTAATGAGAGCGTTGGAGGAAAGTCGCATAAATTAACGGTACTCCAAACTTATCGCGAATATAAAATATACAATATTGTAACCATGATCGTAAGACTACAGAAAGATAGAAAATGTATAAATGTCAAAAGAGGAAACAGGCAAGGAGACATGTTATCTCCCAAACTCTCTACGGCAGTCCTGAAACATGCTTCCTGGAGTGGGAAGCCAAAGAAATCAATGTCGACGGCGAAATGCTTTCCCACCTAGAATTTGCGGATGACATTGTTCTGATAAGACAACTTAAAGAGATTGGAACTATGCTTACTACGTTAAATTCCGGCTGTAACGAATTTGGTTTGAACATCAATTTTGGAAGGACACAATACATGACAAATCTGGTACCAAGCGAAAATCCAAAAGTCAACTGCAAAGATGTAGGATTAGTTCATAAATATTTATTTATTTATTTCAACAGTAGAACCATTTACAATAAAATACAACAAAAGTCAAAGGCCTTTGGCCAGGTAAATCCCAACCTCTTGGCCCACAAACTACATGCATCTGGCTTTGGTGACCCCAGTGTTAATCGGGGTAAAAGTTTGCTTATGGGACATACACAGCAAGTTCGTATAAACAAGTATATTTCAAAAAAATTACATTTGTTGTTATGGTGACCCACAAGGGTCTCATTGCGATCCCTTGTTTTTTAACTTGTTCATTAACAATATTGGTAAGGCTATTAAAAACTCACACTTTCTGCTGTTTGCTGATGATCTTAAGTTATTTCGTTGTATCCATGATAAATCGGATAGAGATGTAAGATGATGTAAATATATGTTTATGGTCAAAACAATATAGTTTAAGCTTAAATCCAACTAAATGTTCTTGTACTTTATTTGGTTGTAAAAATAATCTAATAGCTAATAGATATGTTCTTAATGATGTACTCTTGGATTCAGTTGCTGATATTAGAGATTTGGGTGTATTATTGGATTGCGATTTGTTATTTAGAAGCAATTTTCTAAAAATTAAGGAAACAGGATTTCATAATCTTGGTTTTATTTATTGTAACAGTCATGATATCTCACCTATTATTCAAACTATTGTATTGCTCTCTGGTACGCTCAGGTCTTGAATACTGATCTGTTGTTTGCTCCCCATTTCAATCAAGTCTACATTGATGGATTGATGGGCGTTCAGCGGAAGTTTTTAAGATCTTTAGTTTTTAAAGCACATATTAATATAAAAAATACTGAAAATTATTTCATAGATTACTCTATAATAATGTCTCAATTTAACATTGTTACACTGAAGAATCGCAGAGTGAGGGCTGATATGCTATTTTTGTTTAAAGTGTCCCCCGTTATTAGCCAATGTGTACTTAAACAAAAAGTATGTACTTTACCTTACGAAAGTAAATGACCAAGAGGAAGACCACAGATGAGATGTGTTGATAACATTAAAAGAGTAGCCGGAACAAATTGGAAATATGTTGCTCAGGATAGAGACCGATGGAAGGAGTTGGGAGAGGCCTATGTCCAAACATGGACGACAAAAGGATAAGAAGAAGAAGAAGTACTTAAACACAATACATAGAACTTGATACACTCCACTCTTTTATATCCCTTTTCATAGGACTGATTATGCTTGTCATTATCCCTTGTCGAAAATGCTCAGCTCTTGTAATGACCTCTTATTGGATCCATTCTGTCCAAACATTAATTTTTTCAAAAGGTAACTTAAGAATCTAATTATTAATCTAGATACGTGATGTTTTTTAACTTTTGTGATTTGATATACTGTTTTAATGTTCAAATTTTTACTGTTTCAATTGCTTCTTCATTATTGTTTTGATGTTTATTGTACATGATCTTTACTTTTTACTATTTGTTATATTTTATTGTAAATGGTTCTACAGTTGATATAAATAAATAAATATTTGGTCTGATGAAGACTTGTTACCATATTGATTGTGGTCTTTTCAGCATAAGGTCTGTGGTCTTTGCACAAATTAGATAACAGACCTTCTGTATTTGCTAATTGGCCTTCAATATTATCTGAAGTATTCAAGGATGTCTTTGATAAAGACAGTTTTGATTGGGTTTGCACCTGTGTGGGTGCACCAGTTTTGAAAGGATTAGCTGACATTAATTGTTTCCTAGGGATGCCAAATTGTTTACTCTAGAGAATACAATCTGCATGGAGAGTCCTTTCATGTTTCTACTTATTTTATAAGTTGTAGTTGTTAGTTAGTATCTGCTACAACTTATTTATTTTCTTGGGATGTTGCTGATTATTGTCGGATTAATTAATTGCTTAAAGGATTAGTATTGGTGTCATATACTGTGCACTAACAGATAGGGATAGTTTTACTTGTGAACTGTGTTTACACATATAACAACTGTGTTATAGGTCAATATTTAAATAAAGGTAAAAATAGTTTCACTTAAATTCATCGCTTTTTAATATTTAAACCTTTATACATTTAAAATTGGGGCACTTTTTAAAATTTTCGCAATTAAAATTCATATTTTCATAATAATCACCAGTGTGAACCACTGAAATGTTAGTAAATCATCATTCATGCTTTACTGATATGGGTACCTAGGATCGTAATAGTATTTTTTCCCTTATTAGTAGGCATTTCATTATATTCTTTTTGCTAATGAAAAATCAAACTAAAAAGGGGGAGGAGTTGTGGGAGGGTAATAATTAGATAAATACAGAGTAGAGAAAGCAGGAAAATTCCAAATTACTTGAAAACTCAATCAGATTTGGAATTTGTTGTAAATAAAGGGGCTGTGGTCCCTCCAAGAATAGGTTCAAATAATGAATAACGGTTTTATTACCCTCTTTAAATCACATACTATTGGAAAAGTTTGACACTAACAACTGAGCAATAAAAGCTAAGAGATTAAGATTATAATCGCCAGATTAAGGAACTTTTACAAAATCTCACTATGTAGAACCCATGTATAGCAATTTTTCACTGGAATTTGAAGAGAGAATTTAAAAAAATATATTTTGTTGCTTCAGGTCATGAGCGACTTATTGGGATGGGTGACGCTGAATCTTAGTTTCTAGGGCTAGAGTAATGTGGGGAGGTAAATTATTTCTTATTAATATTGAAAACATGTTTCACCCTCTACTTATGACTTTTTTAATAGAAGGTGACGTAAAGGTCTTGTGAACTATGTATTTAGGTCCAAAATGATTCATATATGCTCAATAACATTTGAACTCATCTGTTAGAATACAAGTCAACTCTAAGTAAATGCGAATAAATTTTAATCAACATCTTTAAGACACAAGTAATTAAAATCCTATAACTGCTTACTGAAAATAAATACCTGTATGTCCAATAAGAGTGTCAGTAAAGTTGTCCTTTATTAAGCAAAATCTGACTAATAGTGCCTGTCTTAACACAGAATACTAAAATATATATGTAATTTAAAAAATATAACCTAAGTAACAGGGAATCCTGCCTATTCCTTCCTTAAAATTGGTTCATGTGGAAGGGATAATCTTTTACAGATGTTTCAGGGTAATTCTGAATACTGGTAATGATTTTTAAACTCAATTGTCTACACAAGCAATGCAACTTCCCAATATAAACTCGTTTCATTAAAAAATATAATGAACATTAGGAAATGGATGGAACATAATTAACATATTAACAGATAAACAAATTTGTAATACTAAGGTCAAATTACAGATATTTTAAGTAAGATAACTCATACAATACCTTTGTCATACATTTTTCTAGTATTTACATTACCAAGTACTTCATATGCCTCAGTAATAGCCCTAAACTTCTGTAATGAAGCTTCATCATCATTCTTATCTGGATGGTAAACCATGGACAATTTATAATATGCGCTTTTTATTTCATTTTGAGTAGATTTGGGTGATACTCCAAGAGCGTCATAATGACTTGTTCTTGCTGCACTTGTAGATTTAAAACGTATATGATTTAAAATGAGTCTAAATGGAAAAGACCTGAAGTTCATGCTAAAAAATCTCTTTTATTATTCTATTATGTTAGAAGATTTAGCATGATTTATTGGAATTTTAAAAATTTTACACTGTTAAATTGAGCTTTATGTCAAAAAACCATTGTTTAAATAAAACATTACATCACAAGAACATTCCAAGTATCACTTCAAAATTTGAAATTGATTTTGACTGTTGACAGCATGTAAGAAATGAGTAATGGCGTTTTATCTTCTTTTATTAAACAAGTATAAAGACATTAACTTCCACTTTTTAGATACTATAGTTTAAGTTCCTTTAAGATTATTTATCACTACTATCTGAACCTCAACGTCCTCACTCTATTTTGAAAATTTTAGACAAATTGACATTGACATTGACGTTTAGATATCACACTTCACGATATCACATGTCATGTTATTTAGATTAGAAGAGAGAGTAGAGGAGAGAGTAGAATCTGGTGGACCGGTGGACCATTGTGATCACATATTATTAAATAATAAGTTAAATATAGGATTTAGTTTATAAATATCAAATAAAAATTAAGTGCACTATTTCAAATTTCTACCATATAGCCGTATATAAGCGTCCAAGATTTGTAAACCTACATTTTTAAACTTACAAAGGTATGGGAATCTTTGTTTTTATCCAATGCTGTGGTTGATACCTCTTTTCTTTTTAGATGTCCCTCAGCAAATCCAAAAGGCTCCTCTTAGGTTTAACAGCAGTGTCAAGTGTTGCAACATATTATTATATGAATAATAACCATAAAGTTTTTAATTCTTGGACAACAAATTATACCCCTTCATCTTTTGCTAAATGGGATGAAAACTGGGATCAGTAAGTATAACCAAAGAATATAGACGCTTATAGCATCTATATTCCTTGGTATAACTTAAATATTTTGGGTTTGAGTTTATTTGTTTATTTGAAACATAAATAATTGTAATATTTTAAAAGATACAGCCAATTTTATATACCTACATAAATCCATCATACATTTCATTTCATTATTTATTGTTTATTCTTTTAGCCGTTCTCCTAAATTCACAAGAAACCCCAAAGCTCATAATCTTTCAGAATCACAACAAAATGAGATTAATGAAGAAAAAGAGCTGAAACCCAAAGCATATAGACATATTATCCTAATTAGACATGGACAGTACAATTTGAATGGTGCTACTGATCAAGATAGAATACTTACTAAATTGGGTAAGTATATATAAGTCAACACACAATATTACTATGTATTAGAACATTTAATTTCAATCAATATAACCACTAAGTACATCACTTTTCTAGTACATACTATTATGTTCTAAACAATATTTTATATTTCATTATTTTTAGTAACTACTTTATTTTAATGTAGATTTTCTAGTTATTTTCTTTAATAAATTCATTTATTTGTTTTAAAATGCAATTATTCTTTTTGTTATAATCTTTATTTCTACTGATTTTTGTTATAAATAAAATGACCAGTGGTCTACAAAATAATCTTTCATAAAAAAAAGAAATAGAGAAAAAACTTGTTTAGACTTCATGGCACATCACATGTTTGTGATTTATTTGAAAGAAGTATTGTCAAATGCTTTTTATATATCAACAAATGCACCTAGCATCACCTCTTGGTTTTTAACAATATACTCCACCCTCTGTATGAGATGGTGTGCGTTTTTTTCCTACGTGTCTGTTATGAACTGGGCCTACAGAAGCCAATTGTCTTATTGTACATCTTCCATTCCTTTATGATACCCATTCCAGAATTCTCAAACCTTGTACTGGCTTATACAGGTCTAGTGTATGGGTACCATCTATATTTGGTTCACTTCGTTGTCTCCAAAAAGTGTTTGCCACATGCGATTTGGTTAAATATTTTAGATACTCTGTTACAGAGTCTGCAACTCATGTATCCATGAAACAGTCCCAATATATGCAGGTGGAGTGTGGGTCTTACCGTTTGGGTTGAGAGTTTAGCCTGTCCCATTCCTCTCATAGGCAAATGTCCACTTGGAAAGATACTTCAAGCTTAAATATGGGTGCCATATGGTCAGAAATCATTATCCATTCAGCATCTCTGGTTTCATTTATTATGTTGCTATTTCTTGATACAACTAGTACATTGCTCAGGTTTTCTTGCAGTCTATAATATTCCATCCTCACCTCCCCTCTTATAGTTTATGTAAAGGAGAGAGATCCAGTAGGGCCTCCATAGCTGCTGTCAATGTGCCCCTCCTAGCCCCTGGGGTTTTTAGGCAAGCAAGTCTTTGCAACCTGCTTAATTTGAGGATTACACTTTTTTGCTGTTCGTTTGGCCATCATACCACTGATGCATATGTAGTTGTGGGTTTTACCAGCATTTTGTAAATCCAATTTAACATGTCTGGTCTTAAATCCCACATTTTGCCATAAGTTAATATTAACATAGTTACCACTTTCTTGGTTATTCAGTCTATCTGCTGATTCTAAGTAAGTCTTGAGTTCAATATTATACCAAGATACTTTACTTCGCTCAGCAGATTTAAACATGTGATTCAAATGCTTCCTATATATCAAGAAATGCACCCAGCATCACCTTTTGGTTTTTAAGAACAGTCTCCACCCTCTGTATGAGATGGTGAGGTATACATACTGTCCTGATGTATCAGAGTTTCAACCAATACACCATCCCTAGTGTACCTATCAAGCAGTTTTTATATAGTCTTCAGTACAAATGATATCAGAATCATCAGTCTAAAGAATTAAATTTTTGCTTAGGTCCTTAGAGATATTGTTATGAAACTTTGACATTTGTATAGTATATTCTATCTCCTTGCCAAGCCTTCTCCATGATTCTCTTTTTGCGATCCTCAAAATTAAATTTTTGTTTCACTTCTGTGCATTCATTTGCATGATTTTGTTAGACTAGGTCACTTTACTGTCCACAAAACAGTTCTCAGGTGGATTTTTTGGTGTGTCTGGCGAACTTCTTTACTGGTTGAAAAGTTATATGCAAGACCTGTCTTTGCGTATCAAATTGAAGGGCTTTACATCAACTGAATACTTCCAAGCTTTGGAGTGCCCCAAGGTTCCCTTTTATAACCTTTACTCTTTGCATTTTGTATTAATGATGCTATCAGATCTTTGACTGACTGTGAAGTCTTAGCACATGCAGATGACATAAAATTATTTTGTATTATTCGAGACAGTTCTGATTGTATTCAGTTACAGAAATCATTGGACAGCTTTGTGAATTGGTATGTTAATAAAAACTTAATTATTAATCTTGAAAAACACCAGGTAATCTAATTTTATCTATCTCTTCAGCTTCTGGTTTTCAATTACAATTTAGAGGATGTTTTGATTGAGAGGGTCAATAGTGTCACAGATCTAGGTTTGGTTTTTTACAGAAATTTGTCTTTCAATCTGCATATATATCTTATATGCAACAAGACGACAATTTGGTGTTATTAAGAGGCATACCAGAGGATTTTTCTACTTTAATCTAGTTTCCCTATACATGTATCATGTATCAAAAACTTAGAGAGAGTTCAAAGAAGATTTCTGACGTAATGTTCTTTTAAATTGTCTAGACCATATTGAATACAAATTTTTTTTACCAGAAGAGTTAACTTTGACTTAATCTTTATTTTTAAGTTTGTTAATGAAATAATCCAATCTCTTGAATTGCTTTAGCAATTTTGTTCTCATATTCTCTATGTTCTTCATTGCAGAACTAACAGTGGTTATGGTCCGACTTCTGATGCATGCTAATCAGTTACCTCATGCGATAGATCTGTGTAACTTATGTATCAATAGCTTTAGGTACAGTTTGAAGCACTGAAATACCAAAATATATGTGTGGTCTGATTATTGTAAACAGGAACTTGGATTACCCATCTTCTTCTTAACATGCTCCATCCCTAAGGACATTGGCGATCATCATGGCCCATTTGACTCTATCTGCAGCTGTTCTGAAAAGTTCTATTGACGTTTTCCCACTGCATTGTCTCAGATTCTTCAACCAGGACCTGCGTCTTCTACCGGTCCTCTTTTGCCTTCCACCTTCTTTTGTATGACCAGTCGCATCAATTTGTATTTCTCCTTTCTTAGTATGTGACCAAAGTAGCTCATTTTTCTTTTCTTTACGGTGTTGATTTCCGTACTATTTCCGTTTTATTTCCGTACTTCTATCCCATTCTTCATTTAGTTCGCAACGTAAGTACTGATATCTGTGCACCCTGCCTAAAAGTTTTCTTTTAGCATAAACACTGTCTTCCTCAATCTCGTTCATGCTTACCACCATGATTTTTGTTTTATTTGTATTCAGTGCCATTCCATACGTTTCGCAGTATTGGGTAATGCGATCAACCAATATCTGTAGCCTTTCTCTGTTGTCTGCAAAGAGTATTGTGTCATCTGCACATCTACGATTATTCAAAAGTGCTCCGTTAATAAATATGCCTACATTTACGTCTTCTAATGCCTCTTTAAACAATTCTTCTGAATACTTATTAAAAAGTAAAGTGGAAAGCACACATCCTTGTTTTACTCTGCGATTTATAGGTATTTCTTTTTATTTTTGTTGGTCTATTTGTATTATGGATTTCTGATATCGGTATAGATTGGCAATGATTCTCATGTACCCATATTGATAAATTTTTTTGCCAAACTAAAAAAATTCACCACTTTGCATTTTACACTGTTGCCATATTTCTGTTATAAAAAAAATTCTCTTTTATTTGTGACAGGTTTTCTACAGTTAAAACAATAAACTTAATTGTGTAAAACATGCCACTATTATAATAGTAATTTGACAACAATCTATTTTACTATTATGCTTGTAGTTGTTATACTCATGTAAAAATTGAAATCAAGTAACTTTAACTTAATTTTGTAATTTACAGGTTGTTTACAAGCAGAATATACAGGCAAGAGGTTGAAAGAGTTAGATCTTCCCTATACAGAAATTGTAAAGTCAACAATGACTCGAGCACAAGAGACTGGATCTCTCATATCTAAATATTTAACAGAGGTAATGTATTTGGTGAATTAATTAATACATTTACGTTTAGGAAGTTGGTCATTTTTGTTCTTAAAAATTGTTAAGATACAAAATGCTTTGTAATGTGCAATGCTAATGTAAAATCCATATGATAGTATTTCATTTTTTTTTATTCTAGCCTTGTTTAAAAACCTTTAGCCACGTAACTACATACAAATATTAGTATTCATTCATTCAGGATTGTACAGGGAGGACACTTTTCACGCTAAAGGGTTCATCAGAGCGACTTATAACACACAAGACATAAACCTCACTTAGACAGGTGGGCAACAAATAGGTACACCTACAAAGAAAATATCCATTCAAATGATCAATTTTTATTCACACCTTTAATTTAATTTTTTACAGAAATACCATAATCAGTTTGAAAATTTTTGTATTATCTTCATTTACATGACAGAGTCCAAATGGCACAACATTGAATTACCACAATCCAGATCCTGTGGTGAATTCTGTCTTCTCTTTATCTACTGAGTCCATTTTTACCTGCCAGTATCCTGACTTCAAATCCAAAGTAGAAAACAATTTACTTCCAGCCAATGTGTCCAATGAGTCGTCGATCCGAGGCAGAGGATAACTATCTTTCTTGGTAACGTTGTTCAGCAAACGGTAATCCACACAGAACCTCGTCGTTCCGTCTTTCTTCTTAACCCGGACCACCGGAGAGACCCATGGGCTCGTAGGAGGTTCTATCACCCCGGCTTTCTTCATTTCCTGAACAATCGTTTCAGCTTCCTCTCTTTTCGCCTGTGGTAATCGTCGAGCTCTTTGACGAATTGGCTTAGTATTACCAGAGTCAATTTTATTTTTAACAACGGTAGTTCTTCCCGTCTTTCCTCCTTTCGATACAAAAATATCACAATACCGCCGAAGAAATTCCCTTAATTTCCTTTTTTTCCATCTGATTTAGAGACTGTCCAGCAACTGCAACCATTTGGTCGAATTTGTCGTTGGAATTATCAGATGTTGTCGTCTGACGGATTATGGATGTCACAGATACACAAGTTCCTACTTTTGCCTCTTTCTTGATGGTCTCTGGGTAGTCATTGACATTGATAAGTCTCACAGGTATTTCCTTAGCCGAAGTCACCAATTCCTTTCCAATTATGTTTCCTCGGCCAACATCGTCGTCATGTATCTCTGGTGTCCCTTCGTCCACAATCCCTGTAATCGCGCTACTATGATCCTTTCACTTCTCGCAGGCACGACTGTATCTTCTTTAACGGCTGCTTGCACAGTGTTGTCATCATGTGGATGAAGAAATACCTCCTCGTTACCAACTTTGATTACCTTATTCTTAAAATCCAATTGAAATCTATGCATATTCATTACGTCCATTCCTAATATAACATCCTCTTCGATGTCAGCAACTATAACAGTATGGTTGGTAACAGTTTTTTACGGCTGTTTATAACTGTCCGACGTATAATGGTTCTGGTCGCTCGGGTATCCACCAACAACGTATGTATTTTACCATTTAATTCTCCGTCTACATATACACTATTTTCACGACATTTCAAATAAGCTATTAGTATGAGAGGGTCTTTAGGAAAAATTCCGGGTCGAAGCTGCCCCCCTAAGGCCGACTCGTTCTAGTTTTCCTGATGGTAAGTTTCTTGATTTGCGTCGTACCTAGGGTACTTACAGGAACTTCGTACGTGTCCTATTTCGTCACAATTCCAGCATCTTATGATCTTCGTTTTATTGTATGTAATACTTTTCATCATATTAACGAGCTGGTCAAGTTTATTTTCATCTCCTTCCTCTTTTACAGTCCTAACTTTACTGTACCCGCTAGAGGCCTGCGTAGCTGACTCGTATTCGAGGGCGCGGATAAGACATCAACCACCGTCTTGTGACGAGCTAATCGCAGTGTTATCTGCATTTCATGATCACGAAGACCATCAATAAATCATTGGACGGCCAATTTTTCCATCATGTCTTCGGGAGCTGGCAATATTTACCTCATAATCTTGAAGGGCCTCATCTCTCTTTTGTCTTCGACTTTTAAGCTGCGACTGATATACATGCCCCAAATGTTCGTAGCCATATCGCATATTTAACCTCTTCTTAAGTTGTTCGAAATCATCCGTCTCCTCTAGGGCTATGGTTTAAAGCACATCTAAGGCATCTCCTCGAAGAGCGATAATCAGGTTTACAGCTTTTTCTTTTTCAGACCATCCGTTCGCTCTTGCAGCTACTTCGAACTGTTTCATGTAGTTGTTCCATGACGATTTTCCGTCGAAAGATGGGACTTTAACATGAACAGAACCTCCACTTCCTTCAGATTTCGGCCGTTTTTCCAACTTATATTTCGTCTCGTCTTCTTTTGTCTCTACTGTAATTGGATTGTTTCCTCTCTCTGCTGTCCCTGTTTTCTCCATCTTGATTTCCATCTCTTTCATCTTTTCTTCAAAGACCAACTTATCGGCAGCAACTTGGTTTTTTAACGAAGATATTCTATCGTCGAGGGCAGACATCTCAGAAGTGACTTTAGAGATTTCCAAAGAGATGTTAGCAGAAACTTTGCTTTCCAGAGAAGAAATATCGTCAGAAACTTTGTTCTCTAATTTTGAAATCGACGAGATGACAGCAGCATGTTTCATCAGCAGGTGTCTTCAAATATTTATGTTTCCGGATCCAAACCCTCTTCTTTCAAAGCGTTCTTTAGTCGTTGGGCCAAATTAGCCTTTTTTCGGTAGAAGCTAATTCTCTGTTCTCGAGATGTCTTCTTAAATCCGTAACTGTGAGCTCATAAATCGTAGTCATTTTCACAATTTATTTTATATTTCACTTTTGACACCAAATGAATTGTTTTTATTAATCTAATTTATTGTCTTTATTTATTATAAAAGGGATCTACACTTTTACAACACTTACAAGTTTATTAAAGTCTTTATTTACACAGGTTAACACTTACTTATTTTACAGAATTTACCGATTCTACTACATTTCCGCGTTACAATAATTCTCAAGATAACTATATTTTCGGACTGCTTTCTTTTCAAATAAAATGTTCCATGTATACTAAATAACCGTTAGTTCCGGAGTCCCCTCGAGCGGACGACGACCTTCGAGAATAGAAAGGAATCCCATCGAAAGCAGACAGGTTTTTTTATTCGACCCTCTTCTGGAGAGTTCGAATTGCAGGTATAATAGGGGACCCGTGGGTAGGAAAATCTAGAACATATCAGAATGAAAAAGAATGTTTGCAGTTGAGTCATTATTTACTGTAACACTTTTCATCTCTTGTTTCAAATGGGGTTTCAAAAGAGTTTTTTATCGATATTCTTAGTCTGGATTTGCTCTTGAGACGCTCTCCATTTCTTTTGATGATTCCTTATCATCCCTTCTGAACCTCGTTTCTTGCAGTACCTTTGGTGATGTCACACAATGGTTCTGGGCATACATAGGTTTCTCTAGTGTCTAAAGCCTTGTTTTGCCAACAAATATGCGTTTTGGAATTATTTATGTATCTCTTTTCATTTTATAAAGAATATATAGTATTGTTTAGGGAGATAGTTATATATGAGATGTCATATTTATTCGCATTAAAAGTTGACCCTAAATAAAAGATTTCACATTTATAATATTGGAATGAAAATTTTGGAAATTCATTAATCACTATATTAAAACATGCCATGGACTAAAACATTTTTTTTTTAGGTTCCTGTAGTAAACTGCGAACTCTTAAGGGAAGGTTCTCCTGTCCCTCCTGAACCACCAGTACGTTCTTGGAAACCAGAAAGTTATGTAAGTGTTGTAAAAATGAAAAAAATTATTTTTGTAAATTTTTATGTATGAATTATAAAAATTTATCCAAAAGAAGGAATATTGATTGTCAACTGATTTGGTTATTGGCACTTGTTAGATACAGTCATCGTTATTTTCGAGTAAGGTTCGTGTTCCCTACGAGTTGAAATCTTTAATCAATTTTAATTTTAAATAAGTTTTAACCTGTAATATAGAGATTTTTATACCTAGTTGTAAGTGGATATTTCCAAATGTACTGATAAACTTACTGTCTTACTGAAAATACTTACTAATGAAAAAAAAAAAAAATAAAAATAATTCAGATGTACCAACTTACAAAAAAGAAGTTTTTTTCTTTAGTGATCTTTTATTTATGTAAGTATGTATTCAGAATCAAGTACACAGTTGTTATTTGGGTGTATGCTTTCGGTCTCAGTACAAAAGAATGACTTATATACCATTGGGTTAAGTTATATCACAAAATATCATTCATCAGAATCATTATTGGTGTTCTTCTTGATCTGTAAATAGGAAATAATCCTGGGAATTCTGTCAACCTATCTATTGTGATAGAATTCTCGAGATTTCATACTATTTTGTGAGTATTCGGTGGTATTTTGCTATCAGGCTTCTGTGTTTTTTGCGTATGCTACTCTTCCTTGTAATCTCTCTGCTTAAAACACCACACAGTGAGAGGATAAGGTCTTATATCTTATCCCCCTGTCAACCATGATACTATAACAAAACAAGATAAGTCAACGCGCATGTTTTGCGACGTAAGCCCGAGACAACTTTAATGACAGCAAGTTAAACTTTAACCAAAGAATATTAGACGCTTATAGAAGAATCTTTCACTGTTATTTTTGAAAGTCGACAAAGGTTGATCGCACGTTATGAAAAAGAATGAGAGGGTGGATCGAGATTTTAGTACCACTAGGGACCGGTCATGTCAGCGCTATTATTGCTTTTAAAATATGAAAGAGTGGGGAAACAAATGCAACAGATATTTTTATGTAGATGCCGCGTGGCCGTAGAATAAGATTTAATTTTTGCGTTTTTTTTTGCATTTTTTAAAGCAAATAATATTTTAACTTTTAATAAATGAATCCTTTTAGAAAAAATATTATGATTCAAATTTTTGATTTAAATATGTACAAATCTACAAATAATATAATTAAAACTCTCTTCTTATAAACTATAAATAAAATTAATTCAATCAATTAAGTCATCAAATTATTAATTTTAAATTTAATTATTTCTTCTTCTTTGTTTTTAATATAATATAACATAAAATGTAAAACACAACACTGTTTTTTTTCTGCAGAATATATTTAATTTGATACATTTCGCCTAATTTCATATTTCTTAGAAGAAAATAATTTTAAAATAACTATTTCTATTTGCAAACTATTTATATTCCAAACATTTTTATTTCAAGTATTATTGTTCTTCAGATGCTTTTAAAATTTTATTATATACCAAATATACCTACTACCATTCAAGAGTGTATTCTTAAGTACATCTGGTCAGCAGACGAATCTTTTCTCACTTTACCTCTCGTTCACTGATAAAGAATATAATCGCATGCATTCTTTGATATTTATTTTAAAACCTTATTTTGTCGGTAAACATAGTACAAGTGTTAGTGGAAAATTGTCTAAAAAGTTTAAAGAAAAATACTGAGAAAATTAAATTTTTGGTTGAAAAATTTTGAAATTTTTAAAAATATTTCGTTAATTTTTGGACAGAAAAACAGTATAATAAAAATGTATGTGACGGTTTTTCGTTGTGTTGGAACAAACCTATTTTTAATTCAAAGTTATAAAATTTAAAAAATAAATTCTTTGAATATTATAAATATCATACCTTTTTAAGTTTCAAAATTAAAAATTTAACAATTTAATATATTAAAAATAAAGATTTTATTGTGAAAAAAAAAAAAAAAAAAAACAAAAAAAGCATCAAAATTTGTTTAGGCGTAAATGCAAAGTTAAATAAATAGCTTCGTTCGTACTCCTTTCCCACTTCTCCCTAACTACATCTTTCATGATAGTTTTAAGCCGACTGCCAGGAGTGTTTTGAAGTATAAACCGTAACCAAACCGCCCATTTGAACTGTTCTTCTATAAGCGTCTATATTCTTTGCTTTAACAGTAGAGCAAATGTTTCTATGGATAATAATAAATGTTTCTATAGATAATAATATATACTAATGCCCATTTTAATAGAACTTAAAGTAATACTTTATTTTTGATAGGTCTTTAAAAAAAGTTACTTTGCATGTACACATGTAGTATGTAGTGAACTGGAACATATTTTTCGTAGTTATAATGGCGACACATTAAAAATAACAAAAAATTATTTAAAAAACTTAATAGAAGCTGCAAAATATGTAAATTTTAGCGAATATGTAAAATTACTTTTTTTTAGATCTAAAATGTATTTTAGAATACGAATTCTAAATCAAAATATTAAAGATAATTACAATACCGCAAAAGAAAAATCACAAAAATTGTAAAATAAATGTCTAAATGATATTCATATAGTCTCAAGTGTGATCCGCTTTTCCTTTATGGTCAAATTCTTCACATTTTGCCGGCCTTTTATATTTAATTTATGTTTTGTAGTAATATTTATTTTGTTTGTAATACACACAATCAAATCGTAGATTCATATATTTCTTTAATTGATTTTACAAATTACTTTCAAAACACGTTTTCACAGAAAGTAACTAGTTATGACTTCTTAGTGGAAGATATGGAATCGAGGTATACTTACCGTTAACAGTTTAAGTTTTGAAGTTATTCATTACAGTAATGGAACAACGTTGCCATATGATGCATCCTTAAAATATGATACATACAAGTCCCCTTTTTTTCTCGCTATGACATGCGTAAAGTCAATTAAAATTAGAACAGCATGTTGTTATCATCGAGCAATAAGAAAAAAGAGGGAATCTAATCGTTATGAAAAGGAGACCAAAAAAGTGGCCTCTGATGGCGGGCATATCCGGAAATGCAAAGGCGCTAAATTTAAATTTTCCAACACTTGTTAACAATACCTGTAAAATATTTTTCAGACAAGAAAGTTTTAATTAAATATTAACGATAATAGTCTAAAAAGTGACACAATTGATAAAAAACTTCAATATTAATAAAATTTCATGTGACAGTTGGGACAAACAATAACATAACCAAACTAAATTTGACTTCTTAAACAAGGAAAGAGACAGTCTATCCTTGTCTAAAGTGGCCTCTCAAGATGGCACTTCCTGTCTATCAATATGTTTACCCCTTCTACCTTTACATTCCCTCTTTTGTCTTATTGCTCGATGGTTGTTATACTATCATGCCTGTCAACTCGTTTATTTTAACAATAACATAAAATCCCTCGGACACTCCATCAAGTGACAGACACACCTTCAGTTTTTTTAAATAGCAAAGGCGGTCACGTGACAGTTCCACAGAATAATAAACGCCATGTTGTAAAGGGAACCAGAGTAGTTTATGTGGTGTGCATAGAAAAATTAACCCGGTTTAATTGACTTACGGCAATCATAGACATACTATATAATTATATTAACATTGTTAAATATAATAACATAAATATAATATAATTAAACCTAAATATAAACAATTACATAACCTGACAAATCATATGTCTGTGTTATGTGTTTCCTTCTAAAACATGGCGCGCGTGCTGAAAAACTTCAAAGGCGGCATCTGAGAGTGGGCATTCTGATTGTTTATTATTCTGTGACAGTTCCTTTGACGGGTTGTCACAATTATCACATTAATAGTTTTGTTCGCGGAGACAGTCCCTGTCTGGTTTCTGACTGTTTCGCATGCGCAGTTTTGTTTTCAGGCGTTCGCGGTGTTAAAAATCCGGGACTTTGACAAAGAGTTCGATGTTCGCGTAGAGTTCCAAACTGGTTCATGATCAGTCCATTTGGTTCATGGATTAGAGTGCGGATTTTTAGTTAGCGCAAGCGCTATGGAAACTGTAAATTGTCAGGTTTTGTGTTTGTTTTTTTTTTGGTCAATCGTTAATACTAACTAACCTATTATTTATTTTTGTTGAGAAGCGGTAATATAATCTTTATTCTCTATTTTCTAAAATTCTCTAAATCTTTTTAGCGATATAAATTAAAAATATAAAAAAGTCATTTAATATTTTATTGCATTATAAAATGGAACTAAAAACAGTACATATATTTATAAGTATTAAAAAATGAATGTTATTTATAGATAAGCGATCATTTTACATCCAGCGATGAGGATTTAGAGGAAATTCTGGACGTTCAGGGTCATTGATATCAATTTCATCTCCGTAGACATCGTTCCGTCTTACTACACTAGCACCGCAGAATAAACATAAATTTATTATTATTTATTATTGCTTATTATTACAATTGTTTATTACTCTGTGCTAGTACCCTATTTTTTACTTACACATTTTGACAATGTAGCAATATCGTCTTTAAAATAAATTTTTGTCAAACGTCTGTGTTCCTCCTTGTACATATAAACAAAACAGCGTGTTGATGTTTTGGGGTTAGAAACAGTCAGAAATGTCCGGAAATCGTTCGCGGAGAAATAGCTGTTAAAAACTAGTAACTAATCGCGCCAGCGCACAACGTTAATCCCAAATCGGTCCGAAATTTATCCAAAACTAGTCAGGGACTGTCTCCGCGAACAAAACTAATAATATATGTACGATTAACTTTTGTGACAAAGTCCGTTACATCTGTTATTCAAGCGTAGTATATATAAAAGTAAAATGTAATGGCATGTCTCACAGAACAGGAAAACAAAAAAAAGAACAAAATAGGTATATCGATGGAAGGCAACCATATATACGTATTTCTGGCTATAGGTCGTCTTCAGTACGGCGCAGACACGTTAGAAAAGGAGCATCTTAACTTGGGAAAGAATCACTAAGATAGGATCACATTTTGCTTTATTTTTAAAATAAATGAATTTACGAGGAGGGGGTGCGGAGAATTGACGAATCGCCAATTTATTTTATTAATTTTTTTAATTTATTAATTTATTCATGTAGTTTATTTATTAATTTATTAATTTTATTTTCATCTACAATCATTTATCTGGATTTTGTGACAAATTTGTCATTATGTTTGATTTCTCCGTGTGTGCTGTCAGGGACGTAGTATTTGCTTTATTTTCTGATTATTTATTGTATATAATATATATTTTAATAAACAAAAGATCTTGTAATTTAAATTTTTCATTTCAGTATCCTAATAAATTGAGTTTAATGCCAGGTAATGCTACTGTTAGTTAACTCCTGAGTTTATTTTTTATTACTCTATCAAGGTATTTTTCTATTTTATCTTTTTAAGAAGTTCTATCAAGATGGTTCAAGAATCGAAGCCGCATTCAGGAAATACTTTCACCGCGCTGATGTTAAACAAGAACGAGACAGTTATACATTGTTAGTATGCCATGCCAACGTTATCCGCTACTTTGTATGCAGGTGAGTGTAGAGCTGTTCTATATGGTCTTTAAATTGTTTAAATTTCATTATTTCTGCATATACTAGCATAAAATCGACTTAGAAAGACAAAGATTGCTTATTTTTAAATGTTGTGTCAAATATATATGCAATGTGTAGTAAAAAGTTGTAAAGAGAGGTACTTTTTACTGTGAAAAACCGTTACAGAAGCATCCTAATATTGATTTCAGACAATATGTGTTGAATTAAAGTTTCTATATAAATAACAAAAAAGTCCACTAGGAAACTAAGTTCCTGTAGCTGGCTGTATACCATATATCACAAAAAATTTATTTCAAATCTTTTATAAAAGGTATATAATAAAATGCCCAAACGGGCCATCACAATTACATTACAGAACGTTTTCGGATTGTTAAATCCATCATCAGTGTAAACCTGAAAGTAAATAACCACTTTAATTAAAAAGAACGTTGAATTTAAAATGTTGACTAAGGTTAAAACAAAATGTGGTTTGAGAGGGCTGCCCTCTCAAACTTTGTTCAATATATCCAACTCCCCTTCTTTCCTCACTTCTGTCTAAGCATCCAAGCGTCAAATCTGCTACCTACTCAACCACAGTATCTTCATCTTTTCATACTGCGTTTTTCTTTTTTATTACAAATCCTTTACTCATCCACTTTCCCTCAGGGTTTAGTTTTCGGGTCTCTGGGGTCTTTCATCATCAGTTGCATTACAGCATCATCAGTTGCATTACAGCTCGTTATGAGCCAAAGCCTCAGAACTATTTTCCATTCGGCCCTGTCTCTGGTAACTCTTTTCCATGCTTTAACTCCGATGGATTTTAGATCATCCTCTATGTTATCTTGATACCTTAGTTTTGGTCTTCCTTTTGCTCATACATTTTACAACGTCAGGTTCCCCAAAACTTCTGTATAACTCAAAGTTGTAGCGCCTACCCCACAAATGCTGTTCTTGGACTCCTCCATATATTTTCCTTAGAATTTTTCTCTCGAAACGTTTAAGCAATTCTTGGTCGTTCTGTGTAAGTGACCACGTTTCTGAGTCGTATGTTAACACTGGCCTTATTACTGTTTTATATATGGTAACTTTAATTTTTCTGGATAGATTTGGGGCCATCTGTTTCCTCAAGCGATAATAGCACTTATTATCAAGCACTATTCTTCTTTAAATTTCTTCGCTGACGTTGTTGTCTTTGGTAAGCGGCGATCCCAGGTAGACGAAGGTGTCCACACCTTCCAGTTACAGATCATCAATTAATAGTCTAGGTATTTGGTTGGCTGATCTAGTACAATACATATACTTGATTTTTTGTACGTTTATTTTTAATCCCAGTGCAGACGCCATAATGATCGAAATGCTTCGATCAGAGATTCTGTGGACCTAGCAATAATGTCTATGTCATCTGCATATCCGACCACTTGTGCAGATTTATTTAAGATGGTGCCATTCGTATTAATATGGCATTCTCGAATTACTTTTTCTAATGCAAGGTTAAATGAGAGACACGACAGACAGTCCATCTCCCTGTCTCAGTCCATTTTTACAATGGAAGGGTCTTGAAAAGCCGTTTTGGATTATGACTACACTCTCTACGCCTTTGAGTGTAAGTTGCGTTAGCTGAACAAGATGAAACGGCATTTGAAATCCCACCATAGCCTGTAGAAGTTTTTTATCTGTTGACTGAGCCGTACAAGGCTTTGAATTCAACGAATATGTGGTGGGCGTCGACTCCGAACTCAAGCGTTTTCTCAAGGATCTGCTTGACTGTGAAGATTTGATCCGTTGTTAATTTATGGGGTCGGAAACCGCACTGGTTTCCCAACTGAGAAATCCCAACTAATTGTTTAGCACAGGGGATCAATCTTCTGTACAATACGTTTTTACCTAAATTTACTACGAGTAATTTCAGCACGAGAACAGAAATGAATTAAACAATACACATAACCTAGTTTTTAGTCAAAATTTCAACATTGGCCGGGCAATGATAGAAATGTTATCAAGAATTTAAAATTATCATCAATGTCCAGTTTCTATGGACAATAACGTTAATATCCAGCCATTGTCGACAATGACTAATTCAACAGGTTATTGCCGATATTGACCAGATTTAAGTTATTGTCCGTAACATATATAATATAAATAGTAACCAACCAAATATTGTATCACAACCAATCAAATATGTTAGCTAAGCTAATTTTATAAGACACTGGGTACACCTTATAAGGCAGTAGTATCAGAACAAACGCTTATTGTCCGTATGGATAGATTGCCGAATAAATGAGTTAAAAAATTACGAAGGAGTCACTCTCAGGAAAAAATATACATATTTTCTTTACATGTATCTTAAAAATAAGTAATTCATCCTTTATTTTCCAGAGCTCTCCAGTTTCCTGCAGAGGCGTGGCTGAGAATATCCCTGAACCATGGTAGTATAACTTGGATCACCATCACACCAAGCGGTAGATGCATCCTTAGAATACTAGGAGACACCGGACACATGCCTCCCAACTTTATTACCAGCACATGATTAGACTATTATCATTGATTTGTTAAAACTGTCACAAAGTGAAACAATGCGTGCTGTGATTCAGCCATTCAAAACATTTGTGTTTCCGAAAGAGTTGTGTTGTGATCGAACTGATCTAGAACTTGGTGTAGCTAAGTAAAACCGGTTTTTACTATAAAAGTAACAATATTTTTAAAAACTCATGTCAGACTGTGCAAACCCCGTTTGCTCCTAGATTTCTCCGCAGAGAAATGTCTGTTTTTGTTTACAAAAAATAAAAGATTTTTGTAGTTAACTTTTAATTATACAGACATTTTTAGTCGATTGTTAAAATTTTTATATAAACTTAATGACAGTATTAAGAAATACTGAATGAACTGAAGTCATACTCAAATATCAGACACAGTGGGTCTTTTAGAGAATCAGATTATTGGAGTCATCTGCTATAATTGGTTTTGTTTTGAAAACTACTTAGTACAAAGCTATAAAATACAGAATTTTTATATTTTATTTCATCACGTTATAAATTTTGCAAATGGTGTATAAATAGTCGATAATTTAAAGTCTTAACAGTAGAGAGCTAACTCTGTTTCGACTTTCATTAAAAAATAACCATTCGTAAACTTGTGATTTTGATTTTTGACATCATTTAGCAACTATAAATTAAATTTCACTAGTCAATATATTAAATTGACACTACTAAGCAAACAGCAAAGTAATTCGCGATGTTTTGTTCCAAACAAAAAGTGTATTTACATGTTTGACATTTTTAGCGATCACTGGGCCACACACGACTCCCTCAGAGAATGCATTTATGTCAATACGACAGAAGACCCACAATGCCGTTGAATTACTTAAATCCAAACGGTGAGCTTAGAGAAAACAAAAAGAAAAAAATGAAATGTATTTTATAGAAGATGTCGCAAACGCTGAGCTTGATAAACCTGCATATAAAGCATCAAACCCTACAAATCTTCTGGACAAAAGGTATCTTTTCATACCTGTTGTAATAGGACATTGATATCCTACTACATCACGCCCTTTTAGGCTAGATTCCAAAAGAATGACAATAAGTTATAACTTAATGCTAAGAAAAACATCATGCTAAGGCAGAAGTACGGAGTGTGTGGTTGTGCTCCCCATTTTGTGTTTTTTAGTTTGCAGATGATATTATTTCTGGCGCTTACTTTTTTCTTGATATATTGATATTGATAAGACAGAGTTTTATCAACACGTACGCCGAGGTATTTTGGGTCTCATTGTGTTCCAGCACCTGACTATGCCATTCCACCTCCAGTGTCCTTCGGGCATGCTTGTTTCTAACGTGGAAAGCACACACCTGGGTTTTTGTAGGATTGGGTTTCAGATGGTTTTCGTCATAGTATAGTGCTTTAGTCTTGTTTGTTGCTTTTTGGGTTGGTCGTTGGTGTAAATGTTTTATAGCAATGGCGCGAGGACACTTCCCTGTGGGAGTCCATTTTTTTGATCCCTCCACCGACTGTTCTTTACTGGAGCGTTACGTAGAAGCGCCTATTCTGGAGAAGACATTTCATTAACCTTGTTAGTCGGAAATCCTTTGTAATTTAGTAGAGTTTTACCAGCAGTCGTTGGTAGTTAACTGTGTCATAAGCGGCAGGCAGGTCTATGAACGCTACTCCTGTTATTTCGTTCTACGCCAGCCGCTTTATTATCTTTCATTTGGTGGATCGCACCTCTCATCTCCTCCAGACATCCTCTTCGTCGATATTTCGTTGTACTCTTACTTTGTTCTTCCTTGATGTTGTCTTACCATTTGCCAGGAGACGATGGGCTATCTGATCCGGTGTGACTTTTGTCAAATTGAGTGCCGGGGCGGCAGGATTGTTGCCAAGATTCCGAATTATTTTCCAAGCGTGTCTGTTGTTTTGTTTAATGTCTAGACCCGTGACCAGCTGTCCGTTCTGTTGCCGGATATCGCACGTAGCACTTCCTCCCCGGCCTGTATTGTTGCTTCCGAAAAGGGATCGTCTTCATATAGCTGCTCGTATCTTTTAAGTAGGGGTTTAATATAATCTATAATTTTGTTTGTTTGTCTATAATCCAGGCATACTCAGTATAGATGCCTTGGATTATCTTAAATATTGTATTACCCGATTATTTACCCAAATATTATTATATTACAATTGATTATTGTAATTAAAATTACATTTTCATTTCAAGTTGTTTATTAATTGGCGCTTTGTTTCAACCAATTTGACAGGTGACCTAATTGACCTCGATCTTGTAGGTAAATAGCCATGTTTTGAGTTGACATTCTGATGCTTGGATTGATATAAAAATCTAATTTTAGTATGCTTATGTTGTTAATTGTAGATGATGTGTATTTGACCTTCTATTAATGCATTAATGTTGATATATTCTTGTCGTTGACTTCTTTTAGTATTGGTAACCAGAATCTGCTACATTCTGATGGTTTGCTACCTTTTTTTTCATTAAATAAGATGAGGCTACATGCCACAAGAAAACAGTTTTAGATCCTCTTTGCGTTATCTTATTAAATATCTTAAAAAGACCTTCTCATTGGCTAGTGGTATCCGCATAGAATATTATTAAGATTTTCGGTATCTCTTAATCTCAAATCTCTCAGAGCTCTAGAAGAAAGTGAGTAATGACTGATTTTGAATGTGTTATAAGGAGATTCATTAAATAATTCTGGACTATTGAGATTATTATTTTTGGAGGCCAAGAAAAAGAGCCTTTAATTCTATAGGGTTTGTGAATGAAGTTGTGGTTTTTTTTGTATTTATATATTTGATATCTGACTAATATTTCAACGTTGGTATATTTACCAATGACATCAATAATAGCAAGTATCTCACATCAGCAATGTAAAAGTATTTAATGAGATGAACATCGTTATCCTTAAATTTTATGACCTTAATTTTTCATTGGTATTTTTATTAGTTTCCCAGAAACAGCTGACCATCTATTTGTTCAATTTCACTGTAAGACATATTTGCGCAGACTTCGGATTAAGACTTGAGATATCAGCTGAAATATCATATTGTAATTCTTCTATATTCACCTCTTGTGGAATGTTAGCAACTTGTTTTACACTCCTTTCCTTTTCCATTTCAGGCGAAATTTTTTACATTTTGCCCTTCGTCCGATTTTTCTGATAAATCTTTATTTCAATACTTTTTAGCTTTTCTACTGTAATTTTTTTGAAGCGAAGCTTCTATACTGAGCTTATATTAACTTTCTGGGTTTATCTATCGTAAAATGCTGAGACGATCGTCACGAAATTAGTGACCCGAAATAGTTGGAAGAGTCCATTTACTCGACGAGGGAGTTCGTTTACTTTACGTTAACCAACTTTACCTGTAGGAGGCATTTTTATAAGCAGCTCCCTCAAATACTCACCTTGCCGTGCCAGTTTCTTGATTTGATATCTGATTATTGGCTACACCATAATATTGAAATTGTACTGATTTCTAAACTGATACTCATAACATCTAAAACTAAACATTAAAATATATATAAACAACATAAAGTGGTATTTGAGTAGATGCCGGTATTTATTGTTATTTCGCAAACCCTGTACTATACGTATAAACACATACATGTCCTTTGCAGTTTTTGTATTAGCTACTTTTAAACAAAAAGTCCAATTTTATCAGGTGACTCTAACTTTATCACCCACTATAGCTTGATACCATATCAGAGATGTTAAATATACTAGTTTTTATACTAAATTCAGAGTCTGTGAAGTTTCTAGATTCAATTTTTTCATATGCCATAGGAATGTTATTATCTCTCTAAAGACATTTTTAAAAATGTGTCTTTCTGGCAAAGAATGCTGTGAAATTCTTACTTTGTGTAATCTTCAGTATAATTTTAAGGCTCTTTTATATGACGACTTGCTGAAATAAGTTTTGTACATAAGATCTTTAAAAACTTTAAGGAGTTGTACTTATTGAATATTCCCAATTCGCAAAAAGCGCGCGAAATACAAGAATTTAGCGTGATCATGTTTCCAGCGGTATCTTAGATGGGAATATATTATAGCCTATATCAGTAAGTATGTCTCTAAAGAGTTCCTTGAATATGTCTATATTTGTATAGTGCCACTGTTTTGTTTATTAAAAATTATTGTTTTTCTTTGACAAATTATTCTGTAAAAATATTCGAATAAAACAAGCTAGTATGTTATTTATAGTGTATTATTGTTTTTAAAACCTTGTTTGTATCGCATCATTTACCAAGACCATTTATATTTTTAATATTATAGAGTAATACATTTTGTATAGACTGATAGATGCTAATATTTTAAGAACAACAGTAGTGTCATAGTTTGACAGCACCAAAAGTACTGTATGAGAATATAGGAAAATTAGAGGAATTATGGTGATATTTGAAATGAAGTGAGGCAAACAAATAAAGAAAAAGTAATCGGGAGCACTAAAAAATCGACGACTATTTGGTGAATCGTGGACTGAATATCTTTATTTGGATACTTGCACTTTCTGAACTTTGTCGAGCTTTTTTTTATTTGTTTCTGGTTCATTTTGGTCTAACGAGAAGCTAGGTAGTGGATTCTCAATTCCTGCAGAGTGTCGCATTCTTGGAGAAAGCTAGCGTTACCTGGATGTGGTCTAGTATTCGGAGTTGGGCTGCCCTTGGCTTTCATTGGGTCGTGTACACTCACAGGATTAGCAACCATCATAGAGCATAAACAACTCGTAGTTTGCTGTAAGAATGGGACGAGCGGTTTATGGATGTTCTTGAATTCATATTTTGATTAATTCGAGAAATATTTAGGAAAGACAAAAAAGCAGGGGCGAATTATGTAGTGAAATATTCGTGAGACAAAAAGAGGATTATTTTCTTACTTCTTCTCTTTCATTTTTCATACTGCTGGTAAGTAGGTAAGTGTAGAATTGTTTAATTATTTGTCGATTAGTTACAAACTGACGCAAAGCATATCTTTCTAACGGGCCGAATTTTTTGTTCACGTGACTAAATGACCAATAGAAGGATCACGTGGTCGATAAACCCGGTCGAAATACAGGGACTGCTTTGCGTAAGTTTTCTATGTCGTACTGGGGGAAGGGCCTGGTATTGCAATGATCAGTATATCGATGGTGAGCAGGCAATATGTCCTATCTCGCATTTTGTCGATTTTTATATTTTTGGCCGAAACAATTTTAAATGTGACTATTTATCACCCCATTAAGGAATATTTGCGAAAATAGACAACATTGTCTCGGCATATGCGCATTTCAATTTGGCCTATTAAAAACAGACACCATTTGGAATGCTAAATGTCCTATCTAACATCCATTCTAATTTGTGTGAAGTGGCTGTGCACATTGTGCTAATTATTTTGGTATAATCACTGTAAATAGTGACCTGTTTTAGTAGAAAAAGGTATGTATTGATTCTTAAGTTCTGTGAGCATTGTATTATTTATATGGAATTGGATAAAAATCTTATTTCAATTACAAATAACGTTGAATTTAATACAGATAGATAGGACAATTTGTCAGAAAATAAATTGTTCTAGTAGGAGTCTGTTAAACGTGTCAAATGGAGTTAGGACAATTTGTTTTTATGCATATTATAAATTTAAATCCTTTTTGTACATAAATTAGGGGTGACTGCTATTATTTATATTACAGAGTGATCCAGAGGAATCATGAACCGAGGAAAGAAGTTAGTGAATATGTTTAAAATACAAAATTCGATGGAAACCTGCAATAAGTCAATGAACGCACCTTCCACTGAAGTATTATTTTTTAGTGGATATAATGAAAGTGTTTTTAATTTAATAATTGTTTTATAATAATAAACGTTGTTGTTTAATAATAAATGTTTAATAATAAATGTTTTAGGCAAGT